GGTTCTGCCACTTACTAGCTGCATGACCTTAGACAAATTACTAAATCTTTTTCTGCCTCAGTTTCCTCATCTGCATGTGGTGATGATGAAAATAACAGTACCTATCTTACAGGTTGTTGTGAGAATTAAATGAAGTAATATACACTTTTGAATTATGGTGTTGGTGAAGAATATTGAATATACCATGGGCTAACAGAAGAACGAACAAATCTGTCTTTGAAGAAGTACATCCAGAATGCTCCTTAGAAGTAAGGATGGTGAGACTTTGTCTCACATACTTTGGACATGTTATTAGGAGGGACCAGTCCCTGGAGGACATCACACTTGGTAAGGTAGAGGGTCAGTGAAACAGAGGAAGACCCTAAATGGGATGGATTGACACAATGGCTATAACAATGGGCTCAAACATAGCAACAATTGTAAGGATGGCGCAGGACCAGGCAGTGTTTTATTCTGTTGTACACAGTGTCCCTATGAGTCAGAATTGACACGACCTAACAATAATACATGCAAAGCACTTATAATAGTACTTAGCACATAGTCAGCACTCAGTAAGCACTGGCTATTAGTATTACTATTCTCCCATTTATGTTGCTAGATAGGAGCCCTGGCTGCACAATGGTTAAGCACTCAGCTGCTAAACCACCAGCCACTCCATGGGAGAAAAGACCTGGTGATCTGTTTCCATAAAGATTGTTGGGTTGTTGTCGTTAGGTGCCGCTGCGTAGGTTACAACTCAGAGTGACCCCATGTACAACAGAAGGAAACATTGCCAGGTCCTGCACCATCCTCACAACTGTTATTATGTTTGAGCGCATTGTTGAAGCTACTGTGTCAATTACAGCCTAGGAAACCCTATGGGGCAGTTCTACCCTGTCCTATGGGGTTGTTATGAATTGGAATTGACTGGATGGCACATAACAACAACAAGCTACTAGATATCTATGCCTTCAGGGTAAAGTTTTTCAAAGTATGGCTCTTGAACCATCAGCATCAGAATTACCTGGAAAGACTGTTAAGACTGCAGGTTCCTGAGCCCCACCCCAGACCTAGTGAATCAGTCTCTAGGGTGGAACTAGGAAATATGCATTTAAAAAATACATCTTCCATATGATTCTGATACACACACATTTTTAAAAAAGATATTGAGATAATTCACACACCATAAAACTCACCTATTTAATATATATAGTGGTTTTCAGTATACTCACACAATTGTGCAACCATCACCACAATCTAATTTGAGAACATTTTCATCACCCCAAAAAGATACCCCATACCCTTTAGCCATCACCCTCCAACTTTCCCAATCCCTTCAAGCCCTAGGCATCCTCTAATCTTCTTGCTATCTGTATGAATTTGCCTATTCCGGACATTTCATATAAATGGAATCATACAATATGCGGTCTTCTGTGACCAGCTTCTTTCACTCAGTGTGTTTTCAAAGTTCATCCATGTTGTGGCACGTATCAATATTTCATTCTTTTCTTATGGTCAAATAATATTCTATTGTATGAATCTACTACATTTTGTTTATCCACATTCATGGACAAACAAAATGGACATTCGTGTTGTTTCTACTTTTTGGTTTTACTATGAATAACGATGCTACAAACATTGGTCTACAAGTTTTTATGTGTACATGTTTTCATTTCTCATGGGTATACATTCCACTCTAGCCAGGAGTGGGATTGATGGGTCATATGGTAACTCTATGGTTAACAATTTTTGTTTCTTTATCATGCTTTAGGTGAAGGTTTACAGACAAAGGAGCCCTGGTGGTGCAGTGGCTAAGTGCTTGTCTGCTAACTGAAAGGTCGGTGGTTTGAACCCACCAGATATTCCGCAGGAAAAGATGTGGCAGTCTGCTTCTGTAAAGATTTACAGCCTTGGAAACCCTATGAGGCAGTTCTACTCTGTCTTATTGGGTTGCTAGGAGATGGAATCAATTCCATGGCAATGGGTTTGATTTTGGTTTAGTACTTACGAAGTGGTACCTTATCGTGGTTTTGATTTGTAGTTTCCTGAGGCTACTGAAAGGAGCCTTGGTGGCACAGTGGTTAAAAGCTTGGCTATGAGTTGGAATCGACTCGACAGTAATGGGTTTGGTTTTTTGGTTTGGAGGCTAGTGATGCTGAGCATCATTTCATACGCTTATTGGTTATTTCTTCTTTGTAGAAATGTCTCTTCAGATCTTTTGCCCTAAACGAATAATTTCTTTTATAACGATCAGCACAAATTCCTATGAGGCGGAAGTTAAAGATGTCCCAAATGTCCAACTTTTCCCAGTTGCTATATCACTTCATCATCTCTAACATCAACTACTCCCTCTCCCCTTAGTACTCTCTCTCCTGTCTTTGCGTTCCCTAATTTGCTGCAACATCTCACAGAACTCTCAAGCCATACAAAGGAAATGGCTCACGTAGTTGTGGAGGCTGCCAAGTCTCAAATTCTTGGGTCAGGCGTAGGCTTCTCCCTGGCCCTCAGTCTCTGCCCAAACGCACTCGGCTTTCTCACTCTGCGGGACAGAAAGCCCACTGTGCCATCTCCTGCGGGTCGCTCCTGCCTTGGTGGTGGTGGGTTCTTCTCTTTCCCACCTCTAGGGTGACTCATTTCAAGCCCAGCGGGATGGCAAAACTGATCAATCCCCTTGGTAGACCACAAATTACCCTATCACACAGTCCTGCCCAATCACCTAGGTGGGAGTCACAAGACCATACCTAGAAAGGCCACACAAAAAGCAATCCATTACACTACATGCCCATTTTTAAACTGGGTGGTCTGTCTTTTTATTATTGAGTTGTAAGGGTTCTTTATAAATTCTTGGTAAAAGTCCCTAGTCAGACATATGATTTGCAGACATTTTCTCCCATTCTGTGGATTGTCTTTTCACTTTCTTGATGGTGTCCTTTGATGCACAAAAGTTGTTAAATTTTGATGAAGTCCAATGTATCGATTTCTTCTTTTGTTGCTTGTGCTTTTGGTGTTATAGCTAATAAACTTGCCTAACCCAATGTCATGAAGACTTTAATGTTTTCGTATAGTTTTATAGTTTTAGTTCTTATTTCTAGGTGTATCATCCATGCAAACTATCGTTTGAGAACCACTGGTTTGGGTCACACCTTCTACCCCTAATGGCTAATTACTGTTTTTTTCCAATGACAATCCTTACCCTAAGAAGAATTTTCAAGTCATCTGTCAGGATGATTTTAATAATAATATGACAGCTAACTAACATAATTGAGCACTTGGTATGTGCTAAGCATTTCACACTGCATTATCTTGTTCAGTCTTCACTATGAGACTAGTGTTGCAATCACCGCTTATCAGTTAAGGAAACTGAGGCTCAGAGAGGTTAAATAACTTGCTGAAGGTGAAAGCTAAGAACTAGCAGAGGTCAGATTTGAACACAGTTTTGTCTGACTCCAGAGTCAGTGTTCTTAACCTCTCTTCTCTACACTGGCTTTACAATGATGTAAAATATGCATATCTTTTCCTTTTATGTAAAAGGAGATACCAGCACCTACATCTTTAGGAAAGGTTGTACAGACTAAATGAGCTCATGTATATTAAGAGTATGACATAAATCAAAACCACAATGAGATACCGTCTTACCCCCTTTAGAATGGTAATGATCAAAACAACGAAAAACAATAGATGTTGATGAGGTTGTGGAGAAACTGGAACCCTCCTCCATTGCTGGTGGGAATGTAAAATGGCACAGCCATTGTGGAAAACAGTTTGGTGGTTCCTCAAAATGTTGAACATAGAACTACCATATGACCCAACAATCCCAATCCTAGATATATACCCAGTAGTGAAGGCAGCAACACAAACAGAAACCTGTACTCCAGTGTTCATTGCAGCACACTTTTCACAATAACCAAAATATGCAAACAACTGAAATGTCCATCAACAGATGAATGGATAAACAAAATCTGGTATTTATGTACATACAATGGAATATTATTCAGCTATAAAGAGAAATAAAGTCCTGATGCATACCATGACATGGACGAACCTTGAAAACATTTTGCTGAGTGAAATAAGTCAGTTGCAAAAGGACAAATACTATACGATCTCACTTATATGAAATAAGCAAATAAATAGAAACAAAAAATTAATAGCGGTTAACAGGGTGGAAGGGAGGGGAAAAGGTGGAGTTTTTGCTTAGGGGGCAGTGAGTTTACGTAATGGTGGTAGAATAATTTGGAAAAGGATAGTGAGATTGGTTGTACAACTTGAAGAATATAATTAATGTCACAGAATTGAACATGTAAAAACTGTTGAATTGGTGTATGTTTTGCTGTGTATAGTTTCACAATTAAAAAAAAAAAAAGTATGGCACAGTGCTTGGCACAGAGTAGGGCTCTCTCTATCCATCATAATTTTCCTCTTACCTTCTCCCAGGTGACCTATCTCTCCCAATGGTTCAGAAAGCTATCAGCCTAGGGCTGATTTTTGCATTCTCCTAGCATCCCGCTCCCCTTTTGTCCTTCTTTCATCAAGGTTTGTGATTTTATTTTTGTGTTATTCTTTGACTGTCTTCTACTGTTACTCACTCTTCTCTTCTACTACTCTCCAAGTTCTATAAAGGCAGAAGAAGAGGGGCCATGGTGGTGGTGCCATATTATCATTGCAATATCCCCCAACACCTAATATAGGGCTTGGAGATACAGTCATCTTTTAAAAATGCACATCTGGAAAGTTTATTGCTTAAGGAGTACTGAGTTTCTGTTAAGGTGATTAAAAAAACATTGTAAATAGTGGTGATGGTTTCTCAACATGGTGAACATAATATCACTGAATTATACATGTAAAAATGGTCAAAATGGCAAATGCTTTGTTATATATATTTTACTACAATAAAAGAATTAAAAAAAAATGTACATCTAACTACAGCACTTCCTGGTTTAAACCTCTCCAATGGCTCAATGGGTTGCACTTCGATAAAACCCAAATTTCCAATCAGAGTCAACAGGTACCCTGTGCCTCTCCACCCATACATTCTACCACTCTGTCCCCTGGTCACTCCCACTTTGGCCATACTTGTTTCATTTCTGATCCTCAAGCACACCTTGCTGTTTCCTGCCTCAGGACCTATTCCCTTCTCTTGGAAACTCTGGTTAGTTTTTAATCCATCAGGTCTCAGTTCAAATGTCATGACTTTCCAGAGCCTTCCCTGACCACCTCGGGGAAATGTTACCGTTGCTCTTCTGCCAACAGTTATTTTTAATCATGCACCTGGTTTTATTTTCTTCAGAGAGCTGAAATTTCCTTGTTCATTTATTTAATATTAATATAGAACATTTGAGCACTTACCACAAGCACTTTTCATATGTTAACTAGTGAGGTGGTATGCTGCTTAATGCTTACCAACTGGCTCTCAAAACCAAAATGCCCTGATTTGTAGTTTGTTGATTTCTGTAGTGTAAACACTCCCACCAGGGCGGATTACAAACTATCAGCTTGAGGTCACTGAACCCTTATTTGGGAAGAGGACAGTGACATATCATTATATAGTATTTCTGCCACAGACTTAGGGGTAAATAACCTCAAGAGCACAGATAAAACTGTAAAAACAGGTAAAATAATCAGGAAGGAACGAGTTTTGAATATTCTTTGCCTTTGTTGTTAACTGATTTAATTGTAAACTTACATCCTTTAATTCTTAATAACGGCTGTTTAATAACTGATTAGCAAAATCTGTAAACATTTCTTAATCGTCTCAAGCGAGCCTGTACCAGCTAACTCCAGTACATTTTTCAGAGCTGAGGTACAGAAAGGTTAAGCAACTTGTTCAAGGTCACAAAGCTAATAAGTCTGTCTACTACTACTCCAAAATGTATCCTTAGAAACCAATATAGTGCCAAGCCTAAAGCTGGCGTTTAAAAAACAACAGTAGAATAAATAAATGAATCAACATTTAGTACTCTTTAAAGACATAAAAGGAAATATTTTACAAAAAAAAATACACATACGAGTGAACTAGCTTTTAAACTCGCTCACAATCCTAGAAGAAAACTGCTCTCGGTCCATTTTTAACAGCGCTTCAGCTCCCGCGCGGTTTTGCAGTTCACTTGTTCTTGGAAAGGGCGTCGCCCAATGGTTTAAAATAAGTTTGAGCCGCCTCGCTGTCCGTCGTCCCGGTCGGTCTCGCCGCAAGGCTTCCTGGGGATGTTAGTCCCCAAATTTCGTAGTTCCAGGGGCAGCTGCGGCGTGCGCCGGACCGGAGGACTACAGGGAGTGGCGCGCAGGTCGCAGGGCTTTTCCGCCTCGCCTTTCCCTTCCCGCCTGCGCGCCCGCCCCAGCTATCATGGCGGCTCCCTTAGCCGTGGTGCTGGTGTTGGCTGTGACCGTGCGGGCGGCCTTGTTCCGCTCCAGCCTGGCCGAGTTCATTTCCGAGCGGGTGGAGGTGGTGTCTCCCCTGAGCTCTTGGAAAAGAGGTGAGGCCACTGGCTCGAGTAGCCTGCCAGGCCCCGCCTCCGCTGTCCCGGTTATTCCGTGAATGGGCGGCAGGGGTAATGGCATTGAGCGCGCTGTTCTGAGGGAACTGACCCGCTTCTTGGGGTACTTAGGGACGGCACGGGGCTGGGTCCTGAGGGCGGGGCTGCTGAGGGATGAGATTCTGGGGTCCAGACCACCTGAGGGGTGGGAATCTGAGGAGGCGTGTCCTGTTGAGGGCACAGAGCCTAGGGGCGTGGTCCATGGAAGGATTGGGATTAGGCGAGGTGGTGCTGGGTGCAGTGGATTTGCCGAGGTGATTGGGATTTGGCGCGGGATGGCGGGTTGCCCTACCCTGGGATAGGGGATGGTGTATGAGGGGGGCCAAGTGAGAGGACCAGGTTTGCCTAAGCGAGGAGAGTGTATGAGTGTGTTTACCGCCTCTTCTCACTCGGCTTGCAGTGCCGGTTTTCCTGCTGTTCCTTCTTAATTTAAGTTCTTCATCAAACATTGTTTTATACTAGCACTTACAGTGAGACACAGTTTGGGCTGGAGGAGTCACAGGCTGGTGGAGGAGACAGACAGGCAGATATTATAATCATGTAAGAAAAGTGCACTTACTGTGTCTACCCAGTTCCGTCCTTAGCGTTTCTGACCCTAAATAAACTGCCTCTTCCTTTTCCAGTCTCCTAAAGATGCGGAATTTGAGCTGACTCTTGAAGAATGTAGGACTGGGAAAGGGAAATTAGACAGAGGGGGAGTTCCAGGCAGCAGAAGATAAACAGGATCAAGAAATGTTCAAGGACGTGAAACATCTGTCCAGCGTAGGAGAGTAATAGGGTAGGGGTTCTGTTGGGGCCAGAATTCGAAAGTTTATTTAAAAACAATTTTTTTTTACTGAAGTATAATATACATATAGCACACATATATTAAGTGTAGAGCTCAATGAATTTTTAGAAACAACACACCCAGATCAAGAAACAAAACATTACCGGCACTCCAGAAGTCCCCTTATGCCCTTGAAGAGTTTTAAATGCTAGAGTTTTCATGTTATCCCATAGACGTTTCAGAATGGGGAATGGCATAATAAATGGGTGTTTTATGGATAATTAGAGCTAAGGTTTTAAAATAATATAGATTAAGGACTATGGTAAGCTTTTTATATACCTTTTTTCATTTAATCTTCACAGTACTATGAGATAGATGCTGTTATTTTTTCCATTTTACAGACGAGGAAACAGATTTAGTGAAGTTAAGCAACTTGCCCAGGTTTCCCAGTAATTTGTGTGTGAGATGCTAAGAGGTTGGACTTGATATCTTTGTATATAATTATTTGTTGAATTGAAATAAAGCCACTTGGTTCCTGCTTTCTTCTGGGTACCAGAAGACCCAAGGCAGTGTTAGGCCCTTCTCCCACTGCTCTCATAGCACATTATACATGCCTCTGTTACGAGTACTCATGTTGTTGGGTGCTACGGAGTTGATTCCAACTCATGTGACAGAGTACAACTGCACTATAGAGTTTTTTTGGCTGTAATATTTATGGAAGCAGATTGCCAGGTGTCTCTTCCATGGAGCTACTGGGTGAGTTCGAACCGCCAACCTTTGGTTTGCGCCACCCAGGGACTGCTAGATACAGTTATTAGTCCCATTTTATAGATGAGAAAATTGAGGCACAGAGAAATTAAGTCACTTGCCCAAGGTCACGTAGCTAATAATGTCTTATGTGAAGAGCTAGCAAGCTTTGGGCATGGCTGTTCCATCAGGGTCCATTCTATACTGTCTTGTGTAGAAGTCTGTCAGTAATAATATTGGAACCTTTCCTCCATATTTTGGTCTTTCTTCAGCTTTTGACCCCAAAGATTAGGAATTAGTATTGATTTACCTTCTTGAGTTCAGGATAGAGCTCAAGCTATTTTGCTTATTTAGAAACCCGCCTCCAGTGAGAGGGTCAGTAGGAACACTTATGATACAACTACTTTAAAAAAAAAATCTTTTATTATAAAGTAAAATACAAGTCAGAAAACCACACAGAATAAATGTATTGCTCAGTGAATTATAATAAGGTGAACATTTTTGTATTCATCATCCAAGTGAAGAATCAGAACTTTGCCACCTATTCCAGAAGCCTCCTCCATATGCCTCATCCCAGCCACAGCCTTCTCCCTCCCCTCATAGATAACCATTCTCCTGACTTTTAAGTAATAATGTCTTTGCCTTTTAAAAAAAGTTGTATCACACAAATAGCATCCCTAAACACTGTAGTTTAGTCTTGCCCTTAAAAAAAAAAAAAAGTTTTCATATGTCTTTTAAATCTCTTTTAATATCTGAGGTTTCTGTCCATCCCTTTCTTTCCTTTAATATTTTTCTGTTGTAGAACTAAGACCATTTGACCAGTAGAGTTCTCCTCCTGAGTTTATATTCATGGTAGAGTTCAGCATGTTCCTTTGTCTTCTGTATTGCCTGCACATTGGTAGCTGAATCTAGAGACTGAATACCACTATTTTCTGTTTGTTTTTTAACTTTTTATTTGAAATAATTTTAGACTTACAGAAGAGTTGCAAAGACAGTGCAGAAGGATCCCATATACCCTTCACCCAACTTCCCTTAATGTTAGCATCTTATATAACTACAGTCATGTTTTTGTTGTTAGGTGCCATCAAGTTGGTTCCGGCTCATAGTGACCCTATGCACAACAGAACGAAGCACTGCTGGATCCTGTGCTGTCCTCACAATTGTTGTTATGCTTAAGCCCATTGTTGCAGCCACAGTGTCAATCCATCTCGTTGAGGGTCTTCCTCTTTTTCACTGACCCTCTACTTTACCAAGCATGATGTCCTTCTCCAGGGACTGATCCCTCTTGATGTCCTAAGTATGTGAGATGAAGTCTCGCCATCCTTGCTTCTAAGGAACATTCTCGCTGTACTTCTTCCAAGACAGAGTTGTTCGTTCTTTTGGCTGTACTTCTTCCAAGACAGATTTGTTCGTTCTTTTGGCAGTCCGTGGTATATTCAATATTCTTTGCAAACACTGTAATTCAAAGGTGTCAGTTCTTTGGTCTTCCTTATTCATTGTCCAGCTTTCACATGCATATGAGGCAATTGAAAATACCGTGGTGTGGGTCAGGCGTACCTTTTTAACACTTTAAAGAGCTCTTTTTCAGCTAATTTGCCCAGTGCAATACGTGATAAATTCCTGACTGCTGCTTCCTTGGGCGTTGATTGTGGATCCAAGTAAAATGAAATCCTTGACAACTTCAGTCTTTTCACTCTTCATCATGATGCTGCTTATTGGTCCAGTTGTGAGGATATTTGTTTTCTGTATGTTGAGGCGCAATCCATACTGAAGGCTGTAGTTTTTTCATCAGTAAATGCTTCAAGTCCTCTTCACTTTCAGCAAGGCTGCACTGAAAGGAATGGCGAAAACAGGGCTCCAGGAATTGACAGAATACCAATTGAGATGTTTCAGCAAATGGGTGCACCGCTGGAGGTACTCACTTGTCTATTCCAGGAAGCTTGGAAGATAGCTGCTTGGCCAGCCGACTGGAAGAGATTCATGTTTGTGCCCATTCCAAAGAAAGGTGATCCAACAGAATGAGGAAATTATCAAACAACATCATTAATATCACAAGTAAAATTTTGCTGAAGATCATTCAAAAGCAGTTGCAGCAGTACATCGACAGGGAACTGCCAGAAGTTCAAGCCAGATTCAGAAGAGGTTGTGGAACGAGGAATATCATGTCTCATGTCAGATGGATCTTAGCTGAAAGCAGAGAATACCAGAACGATGTTTACCTGTGTTTTATTGACTATGCAAAGGTATTTGATTCTGTGGATCATAAGAAATTATGTATAACATTTTGAAGAATGGGAATTCCAGAACACTTAATTGTGCTCATGAGGAACCTGTACATAGACCAAGAGGCAGTTGTTCGAACTGCACAAGGGGATACTGTGTAGTTTAAAGTCAGAAAAGGTGTACGTCAGGGTCGTATACTTTCACCATACTTAGTCTGCTGAGCAAACAACTACAGGCATATCTCCTTTATTGCTCTTTGCAGATAATGCGTTTTTTACAAATTGAAGGTTTATGGGAACCCTGTGTCGAGCAAGTCATTTGGCACCATTTTTCCAATAACGTGGTCACTTCATGTCTCTGTCATATTTTGGTAATTCTCACAATATTTCAAACTTTATTATTATTATATCTATTATGATCTGCGATCAGCGACTTTTGATGTTACTATTGTAATTGTTTTGGGGTGCCACGAACCGAGCTCATATTAAGATGGTGAACTGAATCGATAAATGTTGTGTATGTTCTGACTGCTTCACCAACCAGCTGTTCCCCCGTCTCTCTCCCTCTTCTCAGTCCTTCCTATTCCCTGAGACACGACAACATTGAAATTAGGCCAGTTAATAACCCTACAGTGGCCTCTAAGTGTTCAAGTGAAAGGAAGAGTGGCATGTCTCACTTTGAATCAAAAGCTAGAAATGATTAAGCTTAGTGAGGAAGGCATGTCAAAAGCCAAGACTGGCCAAAAGCTAGGCCTCTTGTACCAAACAGATAGCCAAGTTGTGAATGCAAGGGAAAAGTTCTTGAATGAAATTAAAAGTGCTACTCCAGTGAACACACGAACGGTGAGAAAGTGAAACAGCCTTATTGCTGATTTGAAGGAATTTTTAGTCGTCTGAATAGAAGATCAAACCAGCCACAACATTCCCTTTAGCCAAAGCCTAATCCAGAGCAAAGCCCTAACTCTTCAATTCTAGACTGAGAGAGGTGAGGAAGCAGCAGAAGCAAAATTTGAAGCTAGCAGAGATTGGTTTATGAGGTTTAAGGAAAGAAGCCGTATCTGTAACAAAAGTGCAAGGTGAAGCAGCAAGTGCTAATGTAGAAGTTGCAGCAAGTTATTCAGAAGATTTAGCTAAGATAATTGATGAAGGTAGCTACAGTAAACAACCGATTTTCACTGTAGACGAAACAGCCTTATATAGGAAAA